TCAAGATTTAGAAGAAACTTGACATTAGTGACTCATAACAGTGCAAGCATAAATATTGGTTGAGTTAAATTATTGCATTCCATGAAACTGAAGATTACAGGCGTTTGGAGAGGTATGGTAACTTGTGAACGAAACTTCTAATCATTTTTCTCATTAGAAAAAATCACAACCAGAGAAGAAACTGCTCATGCAGTAGTCACTAGTTAAAACCGACTCCTGAAAGAACCCCTCAGCATCCCTATTCAACAAAGGAGTTATAACATTTAAGGGATAATAAAACAACAGCTGAGGATCTCAAAAGAACTCGGCCCAAATATAGTCTCTGACCCTGATGTGTCCTGGCCCTGTGAGCCCCTTGATTTATGTGCCCTTACAATGGGAACAGGAGAAGTGGTTATGAGTAATTGCTAATAAAAGCCTATTTGCCTCTGGCAGAAATGCAAATGCTTGTCCGTAATGATCATTTTCCCAAACCCCAGTTTACATGTCTCCATTAACATTCCAGTGCCCAGCTCCCAGCTCCCAAGATCCTACGGGGTCTGGTTTCTGACTCAAAGCCAGAGCCGAGTTTGGGGAACCACAGGAGCCAGCTCCAGAAAGCAGTAGCTGGCTCCCGACCTCCCTAGGAAGTCATGATACATGTCCACACCTCCTTTCATTTTTCACTGCGATGACACCCAATCTTTGTGATTAAAAAGAAAAAGAAAAATGAACCCAAGGACACCACCCCAAAGAACTTGTTTCTCTTGGACCCACCAAAGGATAAAATGTTCTCAATGCCACCTCCTCAGATAAACACCCTTCCCCAAATGCCCCTTTTAATTGGCTGGTTGTCTGTGCCTTGGGTGTGACTGCAGGAGTTTACCCCGGGTGTGTGACCACGTAGGAAAGGTCTTCCTACTCCCGGGGACCCTAACGAGAAGGACAGCATGGGTAGCATGGACAGAAATGACGCCCACACTGATGTGACCCTAGCACTTTGCGAAACAGTGTCTTCTTCTAGGGGACACTGGTTTATGACCCCTTCCACCTCTATACCTCCAGTCAGCTATGCAATAAGACTGGCCAATCACGGACAGATTCAACAGGATCATTCTGCCAGAGAAGGGGGAAGGAATTAGACTATGGTTTAAATGTTTTTTATCCTCACCCAAGGATATATTCACTGATTTTAGAGAGAGGAAAGGAAAGAGAGAAAGGGAGAAAGGTGAGGGAGAGAAAGAAACATCAATCAGCCACCTCTTATAGACATCCCAAACCCAGGTACGTGCCCTGACCAGGAATCGAACCCAAAACCTTTGGTTTACAGGAAGACACTCCAACCAACTGAGCCACGCGGCCAGGGCTGGACTATGGTTTCAGTGGAATAATTAAAAGTCACGTACTGGTCATGGGTTGTAAAATGTCCACATGTCTACATTCACCTCCCCACAAATATGTATGTGCAAGTCTGCGGTAAATCTAGGTTATACTATAAATAATTATAAGTAATTAGCACAAATTATAAGCACAGTCGGTTGGTTTCTCAGTATCCTCCTATGAAAATTCTGAGGGTAAATTGTGACATCCTTGTTTTTGTGAAGCGAGTTATTCATTTGTTTCCAAACACCCCTCAAGTTTAGAAACTCTGCCTGTGTCTAAAGATCAAACTGAAAGAGGGATTCCCCCAAAGCTACTGTGCGGGTACCCCCCCCCGCCCCCCCCGCAGTCTATTCCGTCCTGGAGGCCGGGTTTCTGCAAGTGACTCTTCCACAAAGAAGCATAAATTCCAACCAGAAAAATCGACAACGCACTGCAGACTTCAACAGAATTTATGACACCCTAAAGGGCACCTCATGCTTGGCCTTCAGTCACTGTCTATGCTCTAATGTTGATGTGTGATCGTTACTGATTCCCAAATGGCAATATGTTTCCATTCTGAATGAGGATCACTGTGATCAAATTGAAAAAGAGACCAACATGTTATATACTAAATTAATTCTGAGCGTATTGCACAGCTCAACAATGGTCTGCAGAACACACCGGTTTTCAAATGGCGGCTTTCTTAAATCTTATTTTAAATGTAATGATAAACGTTCCTTTTGTTTGGCTTAATTTCCCACACAAGGTTCCTTCTCAGTGATTATAATGTGACTTAGGAGATCCCCTGTGATTTAGAAACAGCTTTCTAAGACTAAAATCACACCATTTGTAGTAAGAAATGGGCCTGTGAAAATAGAGAGTAATATTTTGAAGGTGAGTATTCCATTAAGGTTAGCGTGCCTGATAATAAATCATTGTCAGGTGATTACGTAAAATGTTTCCATTTCCCAGTTTACCGGAACTCAAGATCTTCTGCCTGAGGAGATTCAGTATCGTGAATTGACATTTGAATTATTAATCTAAAGAACATGGACTGCTTAACTATGAAGAGGCCTTTTCGATGCGATCGCTTTCTTTCCACCCCAATTTTATGTACTGGTTATGCGGGGTGGTGACGTTTTGTATGTTAGTTTTCATTGTCTGACCTGACAAAGTTCACTTCTGTTAGTTATTTAAATCTTAAAACAGCAGACCAAAGGATGAGAAAGTTCAGTAACTTTAATTCCAATGTGTGCCTTTCACTTGATTCGAACTTTTTAATGCATTGGTTCCACCAAAAGTGCTAGTTATCTTGATACAGAAAAAAACTACAGTTTCATTATGGGTGACGGGTGCCAAGAACTGACTGCTGTTGTTTTTTAATTAATAAAAAAAAAAAGATTAAGTTCATCCAAGCTAAGATTTTTGATCCTGAACATAACCGTTAAAAGCAACACAATGCTTTGAAAGTAGGGTATTTGCAAAACCTCTGCAAAGTCACTAATGGGATTCCCATGATCTAATACATGTAAGGCTTTCACTGTAACCGTAAACCCACTGAAAGCTTTGGGTCTGAAAGTATGGACTATTGTAGCCAGTTTTTATGGGTTTAATTCCACTGGCAAATCCCAGTTTCTGTATCTTAAATCTCAACGAGAGCAAACTCACAGCACATTTTCAAAAGAACAACGCAAAGAGAGCAAGCCCTGGGATAACAGGGCAAGAAAACCAGCCACAACCCTCTCTCACGAACCATCAATGAACACCAGAAGGACAAAACTGAGAGACGCTTTTAGTTCATGATATACGCGCAGTTCTCTCTGAACACGCAGCATCAGATGAGTCATTTTATTTTCCTCTGATTAATTTCCCACACAAGGTTCCGTAAAGCACCGCACTTAGCCTTGACCGATAACTGGACCACTGTTTTCAGAGGCTCTTTATTCCTTTTTTTTCTGACATGTTTTCTTCTATGATCCAGTTCCACCACTGTTAAAAGTCAGAAAAGGCTGCCTTCAAATCAATGCATGTCTCGAAGTCACTAAAAAAAACAACCAACAACAAAAAACCCTGCAGGCTCTATGCTCTACCTGGGTGTTTAGAAGTTGTTCTGTTTTGTTCTGGGAACCTCCAGGTAAGTAACCTTAGCAAGGTGCATTGAGATTTGTGATTAAAACAGATCCTCTCTGTTTAATTTGTGATGAAAAGGATCTGAGTTATTGTAGCAAATGATTAAATTTATGCTTAACACAAGATGCAGCCTACCTCCCTTATCCAACATCTACGAAGACTATTCACCCAGGGTTTATACGTGGCAGGCACACAACTGTAAAAATATCAGCATCAAGGATATCTACCTTGTTTCTAAAATGTCTTATTTGTTTCTTGTCTTGGCTATTTCCGGATTTTTAAAAATCAGTATTACAAGTTTTGGTATGGGCTCTTAGGCCTAATTCCACCTGACAGATAAAATTTATTTTACAAAGGTGTAATTGAGCATAATATTCATGTTATAACCAAATACATGTAGGCACAATTCGGTTGTAAGAGAGCTTTATGGTATGTATTTACACACATTCACTGACTATCCTACAGGGGCTTTCAATGGAACCCACAGAAAGTAAAGGATTTCAATCACTGCCCAGGTCTTGGCCTGGCCATTCCAAAAACGTTTTTTAAAACCACTGCTAGCTCTTCAGTTTCCTTGTTCAATGTAAATATGACTAAATTAATTTATGTCATGCCATCCATGCAACAAACATAACCTCAAAGGGTCTTTTTGTTTGGAAATGCCACGTGGACACCTTGAGTTGAAAGCACCGTCAATAACTTTTTTAATAAAAATTGCTCCAACTTTTTTTTGTTTTGTTTTGCTATCCCTACGTTTAGATAGTCTCAATTCTCTTCATGTACTCAAAGTGGTGTTTTTTTTAAATAAATACCTTTGGATTTATTTTCTACATAAAGCTACGCTTTTTTTCAGTATATTTATGAAGTGCTCTTTATCGTCACTATTGGTCTTAGCTCTTGCAGAGAACGAAACCCAGATGTGAGGAATGTTTTTATTGTTATCACTGTTGTTTTTTGGTTGTTTGGTTGAGTTTCGTTTCGTGTAGCAGGCACCTAAAACTAATTCCGCTTACAACACAGTGCGACATATTCCGGAACTATTTCCCCCAAAGCGAGATCCTTTTCAGTCAAGTTCAGTGAATATAGGATTTTGTCCAGAGCCTCCGCATACCGCTTTCCTTGAAAAATTCCCAGTAAAGACAGAAGACTGGAGTTAACTCAAGGCGAGAAGCAACACCACTTTCTGAAACGATGTTTTAGGCGCTGAACCAGGTCAAGAGTTTGAACTTTCTGACCGAAAACCCAGGCGGCGCTGGGAAGCAGGAAGCGCCCTCGGGCTCCGGCGACCCGCTCCTGGCGCGCGTTGCCATCCCTTTTGTTCCCACCTAGTGTTCCACACCTTGACCAGCCCTTCCCAGGGATCGCCTTCTCCCAGACCGAAAAGTGCAGCCGCCTTAGCAATCTGCCCGCCGCTGAGAATTCTAGTCCTCTCGCCCTCGGGTGGGGAGGACAGAGGGGGTAAAGCGCCCGACACCAGCGAGAGAGCTAGCGCACCCCCTCCTCCCCAGCCCCCGAGCGGGGCGCCTTACCGGTACAGGAATGCAGGGGCTTGGGTCGCACGACCAGCGAGGGGCACACGGAGTAGAGGGAAAGTTTCTCAAAGTAGTCGCAGGTCTCCTTGGAGAGGATCTCGTCGATCATGAAAGTCTTGTAGCGCCGCCTGGCTGCTTTGAGTTGGCCGGGCGAGGTGAGCCGCAGCTCCGCGTGGCAGTGCATGGTGAGCCGGGGCCGCGGGGCTGGCGCACCGGCGGGGGGTCTGTGCCCGGCGCCTCGGCAGCCGGGAGGCGGCGGAGCCCTGCCTGGCTGGGCGCGGAGGGGAGCGGGCACCGGGCGCGCCGGCCGCGCGTCTAGACCCACCCGCGGATCAGCATCTTCGCCGCGCCTTTTGGGGACACCGCCACTGTCAATCAGCGCGCGCTTCCTGCAGGGCCGGGTGCGGAGTCACGCCGAGGGGCGTCGGCGGCCGGGAGCTCGCCTGTGCCAACTCGGCGGGAGCCTGCGCGCCGCGTGCCCGTCGCCCTCCTCGCCTCCTCCCGCCTGCGCGCGTCTCTCGCTCTTCTGCCTGTCTCTCTATTTTAAGACACTCGCTTTGCCTGGTCCTCCCCGCCCCTCCGCTGGAAACAACCTCCAGGTGTGTGTGTAGCGTGGCGCGCTCGAGGGTGCGCGCGGTGCGGGGGAGCGCGCACTGCCCCCGCCCCGCCGGCCTGGCCTACCGCGGGCCGCTGCCCCCAGCGCG